AGCTGCTCTCCACAGAAATCACCAGCAGTGTGACCACATGCAGAGCTCTGGGCCTCAGTGTTGGAGTAGGATGCCGGTGTTCAAGCAGGACCCAAAGCCCAAAGTTCTAGCCCACCCAAGGTTCAGTGAGCATCTTAGCAGAATCATCTATCAACACATCTGCAGAATGCCAAGACTTCACTCAGCTCCCATGCAGGTCACTCAGCTGCTACCTACCCACAGCATAACGCCATCGCCCAGTTACCCCCACCTCACCAAACACCCCAGCTCTGAGAGCAGACTGCCGCCATCTTGGCTCAACATTCTCACCATATTAGGTGGGGGCAGTTCCCAGATTGGATCTCCAGCAGACAGGTACCAGGTTTCCAACCATCCCCCCTCCCCAGCCTCGGTAACCCAACACAGTAGCTACCCAACAAATGTGTGCAGTGCAACCAGACAGCCACCCCTGGGGGCCCCAAGGTGAGAGTTTCCTCCAGGAACTGCTAGGACAGAGGAAGATGGGGCTAAAGTTTGGAGCCTAGCAGAGAGACCAGGAGCTGGGAAATCTCTGGGCAAGAGAGGGAGATAGTACCAGGTGCTCAAGTCATACAAATGGTTCTAAAAAGAGACCCGTGAGGTGCAGCCTCTCTGCAGGGACTTGTGGGTTCCACTCCCCGCATCCAGGCACCCTGTGCCAGGACCAGTCTTCTCACCCTGGTTACCTCCACCATCTTGAGGGCAGAGACACCGGCTTACAACAGATGACCCCACCTATTGGATGAGAAGAAAAGCAGAAAGATACAGATTTCTAAAACTAGCTACAACCCTGGTTTCTTCCTTTGAGCTTTTTTGTTTATTTGTTTGTTTCTCTTCTACCCCATCTATCCTCTGGCCCTCACATCCCAACATATGTGAAACCAAGAACTTTGCATGAAATAGGACTTTGAGGACTGAGTCATCTGAATAATATAATATAGAGATGTTGTATATTCCCTTTTTTTCTTTTCCTTTTTCTTCTTTCATTTTTCTTCCCCCTCCAAATTTTAATGTTTTAATATCTGTATTTTTCTAAATACTTATATGTGTTTGTTTTATGTACTCTACTGTCATCCCACGTACTTGCCTACCCTAAATTACTTCCTGTCTATTCTCTTGCTACTAACCCTCTTTATTAGATTTCTCCTTCACATTTCCTAAGATATATTAACTCTATATCCTCACATCCTACCTCCTTAGCACATCATCCTACACCCCACCCCCAGTTTATTGTCCACCGACAGAAATTGTAAACCTTTTTATAAAACTACTGATTATAGTTTAGATAATAATTGAATCCAACATTTCTATACATTGAGACTAAACTGTAAACATAAATGTAAACTGTAAACAACAAATTGTTCATAGAGGGTATATTGTTAATATTGGGATCTGTTAGCGTTGTCCTTCCCCAGGAAGGAGAAGTCTTGAAATGCTACAAGAGCACTATAAATCTATAGGGTAAAAATAAAAACAATCTATACCCACAGAGCTAGAAAGGAAGAAACACAAGCAACATGAAAAGACAAAGGAAGAAAGTGCCCCAAACAAATGAAGACATCACATCATTAGAATCATTGGCAGCCACAGCAGAATAAATGACAGAGAAGGAGTTTAGGACGTACATGGTTAACAAAAGAAACAATTGAAAAAAATTGACAAAACAAAAAGTTGCTTCTTTGAAAAAATAAATAAAATTGACAGACCCTCAGCTATGCTAACAAAGAGAAGGATAGAGAGAACTCAAATTACCAGCATATGTGATGAAAAGGTAATATCATAATAGACACTACAGAAATACAGAGGGTAATTAGAAATTATTTTGAAAACTTATGCGCCAATAAAATAGAAGATATTGAAGGCATCGATAAATTTCTTAAGTCATGCATCTTGCCCAGTTTGAATTAGGGTGATATATACAATTTAAACAGAAAAACATCATCTGATGAAATAGAAGACGCCATCAGAAGCCTACCAGCAAAGAAAAGCCCAGGAACGAATGGATACACAGCAGAGTTTTACAAGACCTTTAAAGAAAAACTAATACCAATACTCTTCAATTTATTTCAGGAAATAGAAAAAGAGGCAGTGCTTCCAATATCACCATGATTCCAAAATAAGGCAGATGCATCAAAGAAAGAAAACTTTAGAACAATATTTCTAATTAATAGATGCAAAAATTCTTAATAAAATTCTGGCAAATCAAATACAAAAACATTTCAAAAAGATAGTGCATCACGATCAAGTGGGATTCATCCCAGGGATGCAAGGTTGGTTCAACATAAGGAAATCAATAAACTTAATTCATCATATCAATAGACTTAAAGATAAGAATCATATGATCATTCCAATAGATGCAGAAAGAGCATTTGACAAAATACAGTACCCCTTCATGTTCAAAACACTAGAAAAACTAGGGATAGCAGGAACATATCTCAACACTGTAAATGCTATTTATGCGAAGCCCCAGGCCAATATCATTCATAATGGAGAAAAATTGAAAGCATTCCCTATAAAAATTAGAACAAGACAGGAATGCCCTCTTTCACCATTTCTATTTAACATAGTTTTTGAAACATTGGCCAGAGCAATTAGACAGATGAAAGAGATTAAAGTATACACATAGAAAAAGAAGAACTGAAATTAGCACTATTTGCTGATGATATGATTCTATACCTAGAAGACCCCCCAAAAATTCCAACAGCAAACTTCTAGAACTAGTAAATGAACTCAATGAATTCAGCAAAGTAGCAGGATATAAAATCAATACCATAAGTCAAAGGCATTTCTGTACATCAGTGACAAATCCTCTGAAAGGGAAATGAGGAAAACTGTTCCATTTACAATAGCCTTAAAAAAAAATACTTGGGAATCAACTTAATGAAAGAGTTGAAAGATCTATACAATGAAAACTACAGAACCCTAAAAAAAGACCTTAAAAGATGGAAAGATCTACCTTGCTCTTGGAAAGAACAAATTAATATTATCAAAATGATCACACTACCAAAAGCACTGTACAGATTTAATACATTTTCAATCAAAACCCTATGGCATTCCTCACATAAATTTTAAAAAGCAGTCATGAAATTCATCTGGAAAAATAAAAGACCTAGAATAGCTAAAGCAATCCTTAGCAGGAAGAGTGAAGCAGGTGGCATCACTATACCAGACCTCAAACTATACTACAGAGCAATAGTAACAAAAACAGCATTGTATTGGCACCAAAACAGACTGGTAGACCAACAACACAGAATAAAGGACACAGAGACTAACCCACAAAGTTACAATTATCTTATATTGGACAAAGGTGCCAAAAAACGTGCACTGGAGAAAAGATAGCCTCTTCAACAAATGATGCTGGGAAAACCAGAAATACATATGCAACAAAATGAAATTAAACCCTATCTCTCACCATGCACAAAACTCAACTCAAAGTGTATCAAGAATGTAGGAATTAAACCAAAGACTCTCTGTCTAATAGAAGAAAAAGCAGGCCCTAATCTTCATCATGTGGGTTTGGGCCCCAACTTCCTTAATAAGACTCCTACAGCACAAGAACTAAAACCAAGAATCAATAAATGGGATGGACTCAAACTAAGAAGTTTTTTCTCAGCAAAAGAAACAATCTGTGAGGTGAACAGAGAGCCCACATCCTGGGAGCAAATTTATACCCCTCACACATCAGATAGATCAGATTAGAGCACCAATCTCTAGGGTATATAAAGAACTCAAAAAGCTAAGCACCAAAAAAAACAATAACCCAATCAATAAATGGGCCAAGGACCTGAACAAATACTTCTCAGAAGAGGATATACAATCAATCAACAAATATATGAAAAACTGCTCATCGTCTCTAGCAATCAAAGAAAGACAAATCAAAACTACTCTAAGATATCATCTCACTACAGTCAGAATGACAGCTATTATGAAAACAACAATAGTGTTGGCGAGCATGTGGACGAAAAGGCACACTCATACATTGCTGGTGGGACTGCAAATTGGTGCAGCCAATATGGAAAGCAGTATGGAGATTCCTTGGGAAACTGGGAATGGAACAATCGTTTGACCCAGCTATCCCTCTCCTTGGTCTATACACAAAGGACTTAAAAAACAGCATACTTCAGGGGCACAGCCACATCAATGTTTATAGCAGCACAATTCACAACAGCTAAACTGTAGAACCAAGCTAGATACCCTTGAGTAGATGAAAGGATTAAAAATTGTTGCATGTATACACAATGGAATATTACTCAGCAATAAAAGATAATAAAATCATGGCATTTTCAGGTAAATGGATGGAGTTGGAGAAGATAATTCTAAGGGAAGTTAGCCAATCCCCCTCCCCCCAAAAAAACAAATGGTGAATGTTTTCTCTGATATAAGGAGGCTAACTCATAGTGGGGTAGGGAGAGAGACCATGGGAGGAATAGATGAATTCTAGATAGGGCAGAAGGGAGAGAGGGAAAAGAAGGGGGCAGGGATTTAGCAATGCTGGTGGAATGTGATGGACATCATTATCCAAAGTACATGTACGAAGACATGTTTGTGTCTCTGTGTGTGTGTGTGTGTGTGTGTGTGTGTGTGTGAGAGAGAGAGAGAGAGAGAGAGAGAGAGAGAGAGAGAAACAAGCAGAATTCACAGATCCAAGATCAGCAGGGTGACTTAACAAGGTCTCCAGAGATTCAGGAGAGTATCTGGTGTAATTCCAGTCTAAAAACCAGCATACTTGAGACCAGGAAGAACCAACTTTTCAGTTTCAATGTAAAAGCAGGAAAAAGCTGATGTTCTGTTTTAAAGTCAATCAGATAGAAAGAATTCCCTCTTACTCAGGAGATGGTCAACCTTTTGGTTTTATTCAGGTCTTCAGCCCATTTTATTATGGAGAGCAGTATTCTTTATTCATTCTACCTTATTAAATATTAACCTCATCAGCATTCTGTAATCCAATCAAGTTAACAAATGAAATTAACAATCACACTTACCTGAAGTGGTCTTTGAGTTAACTACTTTGTCTGCCATATACCGTTTCTGTTATGGGGGAAAAAATTGTTACATGTAAAGTTCAAAATGAAAAATGCAACTCATAGTAGAAGACATAGTAGTTTTAAGAAAGAATAAAGGCAGCTAACCTAATTGTAAAATCTTCTTTGGCTGTAATTGATTTCAATTTCATTTTGCCCTTTCATGATTCCCTAAGCTGTGATGTGGCTAATGGAAGGGAGTATAGCAAAGTGGTTAAGTA